ACATTTGGCTCCAAGGGTTATTCTCCCCAGGGCGTTGTAACATCCGACGGACTCCAGCTTGGTTGTGGTGTTTGCTGTTCTTTGCATGTTTACGCCACTGTGGTTCATGCTGTTGGCATGCAAGTGTTCTTTCTACTCTCCTGTTATTACAACCACGGACTAAGCATTTAGAAGCAAGCTCTATGTGATGTATATCACATAGAGATCCACCACGAGAGTTAGAAAGGTCATTTGTGCAATTATCATATGCACAGTGCTAAAAAAGATTATTGTGAACAAACAAACTCTATGACAAGAATATAAAGGTAATTCATTTATCTGGGGACGAGGTCTTTACCATCCCCCACGTAATCCAGATGGACTCCACTGGACTCCACTGGATTCCAGTCACCCTTTTGCCAGGCCAGATTGGCTGGTACAATGCCCAGTCCACTGGAGTCCAGTCCAGTCCACTGGACTCTCACTGGACTGCCAGCCACTTTTCAGAGTCCAGTCCCAGTCCAGTGGACTGAGAGTCCAGTCAGAGTTCACTGGAGTCCACTGGAGTCCACTGGTATATTAACTGAATTAGAACAAACATTATACTAATTTCAGCAGTCCAGTGGAGTCCACTGGACTGTACTAGTAACATCAGTACTCAGTTATTATTATTAATACAACTAAAAATGCGAAAATAGAGCACTATCATTAACAGACAACACTAGAAGTATTATAATACTACAACATATACTATATTATGAAAACCAATGCTACCGATAATGAGGATCAAGCATTTTGTTCAGTCTGCGGGGTGAGATTACAAAGCAGGACAAACTCACGGCATTGTCCGATCGAACATTATGTGGCATCACTTGTCACATCGACGTGACCATCCTTCCTACACCACACCACCACCTCGACTACACCACCACTCACCACCGCTGACGTCTGACGTCGGCGGTGGGTTTACTGTTTGCGTCAACCCACGACGACACCGCCCACCATCGATACCGCCCACCGTCGACGCCACCTACCATCGACACCGCCCACCGTCGACACCGCCCATGCCACGTCACTCCCGCTAATGAGGAATGGCACACCCATGCCACGAACGACAACGGCGCCCATGCAAACGTATGGGTACGCAGAACGACAAGCCAAGAACGAGGGACGGCGCCCATGACGTTGCCACGTCATGGGCAAATAGTACGTGTGTTTGCCCAACCACCCCATTCCTCCGTCCTCACCACAACAGCAGACGAGCGCCCACCCCGAGCACATACGAAAAGCGACAAGCGCCCACCCCACCCACGAATTTTGACAAGCGCCACCATGAGAAACGACGAGCGGACACGGAAAACGACAAGCGCCCACGGAAAACGACAAGCGCCCACGGAAAACGACAAGCGCCCACGGAAAACGACAAGCGCCCACCCCACCCACGAATTGTGACAAGCGCCCACCACGAGAAACGACGAGCGGACACGGAAAACGACGAACGCCCACAAAAAACAATGAGCACCCACCTCCACCTCCACGAGCACCCGCCCCCACCCGACGGCACGCCAACGCAGAACGCCAACGCAGAACGGCGACAAGGGCTTTGCAGCCACCCCCGTCGTCATTGCACCCCCCCACCTCGTTAACCTCGTTTACAGCCGCTCCCGTCGTCATTGCCCCCCCACCTCGTTAACCTCGTTACAGCTGCTCCCGTCGTCATTGCCTCCCCACCTCTTTACAGCCGCTCCCGTCGTCATTGCCCCCCCACCTCGTTAACCTCGTTACAGCCGCTCCCATCGTCATTGCACCCCTCCACCTTGTTAACCTCATTTACAGCTGCTCCCGTCGTCATTGCCCCCCCACTTCGTTAACCTTGTTACAGCTGCTCCCGTCATCATTGCCCCCCCACCTCTTTACAGCCGCTCCCGTCGTCATTGCCCCCCCACCTTGTTAACCTTGTCTACAGCTGTTCCTGTTGTCATTGCCCCCGCCTCGTTTAACCTCGTTTACAGCTGATCCCGTTTTCATTGCCCCCCTCGTTATCGTCGTTTACAGCTTCTCCTGTTGGCATTGCCCCCCCCCACCTTGTTAACTCTTGTTTACAGCTGCTCCTGTTGTCATTGCCGCCCCCTCGTTATCTTCTTTTACAGCTGCTCCCATTGTCATTGCCCCCCCCCTCATTATATTGTCATTGCCCCCCCCCCCACCTCGTTAAACCTCGTTTACGGCCACCGCCTCATTAACCTTGTTTACAGCCGCTCCCGTTGTCATTGCCCCCCCACCTCATAGTAGATGTGCAATTTGTTATCATTACCTTTCGTTGAGATTTCATAGGTAGTGTGTTATTGCCAGTATGTATACTTAGGTTGAAATTTCAGAAGATATGAATTTTCGGACTTGCAGGAGGAGGGTCAAGGGGAGGGTCAGGGGGAGGAGGAGGAGGAGGAGGAAGCTTTGGCTGAGCTGGAGGATGAGGTGGTTGTTGATAAGCCCAGACATGGGGGGAAGAGGGGGAAGGATGTCATCCTGAACAAGGGGGGGAAAAAAGGGTACAAAATTAATCACATTTACTTTGACATTCTCTGACATGAATTTTTAGCAAAAAGGGGCGCAAAACCAGTGCCCAGAAAAATGCAGAAGTGGCAGCTGAAGAAGCCAAGCGGGTCAAAAAGCAGACTCAGTGAGTTTTATTGCTTTATTTAAATCTTACATACTGAAATATTTAAAGCACTATGAAACTTTTAACCCAAAGGGGTATTTCAGTTGCACCACCTGCACGTGCTGCTGTTTCTGCTGCCCCTGCTGCTTCCTCCATCCCTTCCAGTTCTGCTGCTTCTTCTGTTCCTGTTGTCCCTGATGTTCAGGCTATCCCTGCTACTCTTGTTCCTGCCGTTGCTGATATTCATGCTATTTCTGCTGTTTCTCCTGCTATGCCCACTGTTTCTGCTGTTTCTGCTATTCCCACTGCATCCACTGGTTCTGCTATTTCCACTGTTTCCACTGTTTCTGCTGCTGTTTCTGCTGCTGTTCTTTCTATTTCTAATACCACTGTTCCTATTTCTACCACTGCTCCATTGACTTCTGGTGATGAACCAGGAGATGTCTCTATGGAAAGCCCTCCTCGTCCTGAGGGTTCTTCATGTGCCACTGGAGGCATTTTGCGGAACAGAGCTATGGGTCAACATTACAATCCTGTTGACGATGAAGATTTTCAGATTGCTCCTGTCTTAGGAAAAGTCAAGGGTGTTGTTAAGATATATGTTTTACCTCTAGATCCTGTTGAACTGGAATTTGCCACCATGCAACCAAGTCTGAAGGTTCCTGTCACTGTCAACATGAACTTGGGACCAGTTCTTAAAGAAGTAGCTCTTCACTGGCCACCAATTACTCGTAAGTAATTCATGATGTATAATGCTTTAAATGTGATATAACTCTGTTTAGGTAACCGTATCCTTGTTTATGATGCTCTTGATGGCCTTTGGATGGCCCAAGGTCTCTATGATATTGTGGTTGAAATCAATGACACCATTTTATTTGACAATTCAGGTGACAAGGCAACTCTACACCTTCTTGTTGTGGGTATTATATCCTATTTCAATACACTACAAAAGATTAACTTCTAATTATATTATAGAGTTCTTTTGAGCCTGGAATTTCTTTTTCCTCAATTCCCCCTTCTCGTGCTCGTTCACTCCAAGGTGGATCTCTTCCATCTACCTCTCGTTCTGCCACACCCCACTCCTCTGTCCGTTCTCACTCTCGCTCACATTCTCTATCAACATCTGGGGATATCCAAACTGGCAGTATTGAGCCTGCTGATGCAGTTCCAACTCAAAAAGATGCTGAGGACTTGGGCACTACTTTCAGTCCATATGAATCAAGTCTTCTCCATATTCTTAACATTCCCATGGACCTTACTCGTTCAGCAACTGCCAAGTCCCTCTCAGAGGTCTTTACGCTGCCACTGCTTTTCCGAGCGGACTCCGTCAGACTGAGGGTATGCAGAACAGATATTTTTCTGCTTTGAAATGCAGCAAATTTTCCGGTGAATGTCCGAAGCTTTTCCGAGCATTTTTGGTCGGACTGAAAAGTCCGTCGGACTTTTCCGACGGACTTCCGATGGACTAACAGCAAACTAGCACCCAGTCCACTGGAAATGACGAGCAAGTGCCAACGGAATTCCAGTGGACAAATCCAACAGACGTCCAACGGAATTCCAACAGACTGTTGTTATTATTATTAATATATAACATAAAAAAAATGGAACATTGGGGAATTGAACACTCAACCTTAGGATCTGAAGCATATGTAACCCAATGCTAAACCAGCTGCACCAAGGAGCCTTTGATATAAGTAAGTAATTTGTACTATACATACCTACTGTTTGACCGCTTTCCTAAAACGGTCATCGGCAAACGCCGACGCATCATTTGGCCATCATCAACGATCCCACGTCGCTTGTCCTCAACCACATCCATCCCCAGCAACGACAGCCCACTGACCCACGACGACACGACACGCGACGCGGATGGCACGACGACACAACAACACGACGACACGATGACACGACGACACGACGACGACGATGACACGACGATGACGACACAATGACGTGTGAACGACGCGCGACGCGGACAACACGACAACACGACGACAACGACGACACGATGACGTGTCGACAACGCCCGCCGACGAGACAACAACGAGGTGACGACAACGCCCAAGGAGAAGGAAAGGCAACAACGATGCGCAACGGCGACAGGACGGACGACGACGACACGACGACGATGACACAACACGCGAGGACGACGACAAAACACGCGACACGAGGACGGCGACACGACGTGACGCAAGGACGGCGACACGACACGACGCGAGGACAGCGACACGACACGACGCGAGGACGGCACGACGCGACGCGAGGACGCCGACACGACGCGACGCAATAAAGCGTCAATGATGCGCGCCAATGACCACGCGCGAACGAGGATGAGGGCCCAGCACCACCATCCCCTCCCCCCTCCATTACTCACCATTCCATCCCCTCACCATTACTCACCACTCCCTCCCCCCACCCTTACTCCCCTCCCTTGCTGCTCCCCACTCCCTCCTCCTCCCTTGCTGCTCCCCACTCCCTCCTCCTCCCTTACTCCCTCCTCCCTTGCTGCTTACCATTCCCTCCCCCCTCCCTTTCTGTTCCTACCCCCTCACTTTTTGTCCCTTCCCCCTCACTTTTTGTCCCTTCCCCCTCACTTTTTGTCCCTCCCCCCTCCCTTTCTGATCACCACCCCCTCCCCCTTCTCTGTAACATAGAATGTAGTAAAATAAATTTATGTAGGTATAAAATATACTTTGTTTTTGAAACCTCAATGTCTTAAGGAATTTAGCATAAGGTCTGACCAGGGCCTGACTTGTTTAGATTTACTTATAAGAATTGCAGACTGGACACTGAAAGTCTGTTGGAAGTTGTGCCTTTTTTGCTTAGAAGTCCATTGAAAGTCCATTGGAAGTCCAGTGGAAGGTCCAGCAGACTGAGAACTTAGCAATTATGATGGTTTCTGCCTCTGTCCGTTGGAAATCCGATGGAAGTCCAGTGGACGTCCAACGGACACAGAATTCCGGCCAGTCCAACCATTTCTTGCTTCTAAGTAGTTTGAGTGGACTTTCACTGGACTTTGCCTGGACTTGCAGCGGAATCCAGTCATGTCCAACGGACTCCGACGGTCTTCCGACGGACTGTCCACTGAGTCCATCGGAAATGGCAGGGTCCGATGAAAGTCCGTCGGAGTCCGTTGGACAAGCAGTGGGAGTGTAAAGTACTGCCCTCTCAGAACAATTTCTTGCCTACCTTGCTGTCGCTGATGCTCTTAATGCCATGCGCAAGGTTAAGCAGTGGCCTGAAAGAGCACCTACTGAGAAGCATGTTATTGAACTTTTTATTGGGAAAAGCCAGTGGAACAATGTTTGGCGACCAATCTTCAGTAGGGCTTCTCAGCACTTTCCAGACATGGTCAAGTGGCTACAAGGTGATGCTGACAGCAAGACTGCGGAGGAGCTTTGGGGGATAGAGGGGAAGTACAATCTCAAGATGTTGAAGGAATGGATGGATAGAGGTGGAAAGCCCTTGAAAGGGAAGGCTAGAGCTGTTGAAGAACCTGTTGCTGAAAGCTCATTGAAGGGATCGGAGAAAGACAAGGAGAAGAAGAAGAAGAAGAAGAAGAAGAAGTCAGATAAATCAGATGAGTAAGTTGGGATGTAATAGTTACATATGCAATTGTTTGGGGTTTTTTGAATCTAACTTTTTACTATGCATTTTTTCAGATTTTTAGTTAAGCCTCATGTGATGGCTATTTCACCTTTGATCTGGCTAGTTTTATGGCTTGCATTTCAGCCTCTTATATCAGTCACTGGACCAACAACAGCGTTTCTAAATATCTTGATTCTGGCTGTATGTTCTCTAAAGCCTTATACTTTGGCTACATCACCTGTAATCTGGCTGGTTATGTGGTTTGCATTGGTTCCTGGTGTAATGGCCACAGGCTCAACAACACCATTTCCTGATATCCCATTTCAGGCTTTTAGTCAATTCATTTTGACAACATTTAACCCTGAAATCTCACTGGAAACTGTTCTGCTTGTCTTTTTTTCTTTAGTGGAAAATCCAGACTTGCTTAATTTACATGCACGTCAGAAACATCCAAAAGTCCTAAATGAAAAGAAAATTATTGCATCAAGTTGGATGAAATCACTGGGCCGTGCATTAAATGAACGACTGGATTCAGATCTCTCAATGCTATTTCAATCAAATGAATTTGTGCAAAATTCATGGGAAACTGCACTAGCTCTCAAGCTAGATGCATTTTCAGAGCTTCTTGGACTCACACCTTACAAACAAGGTGTTTTCAATAAAAAGCTGCAGAAAGTTTCTCAAAAGGCTATTGAGCCCATACAAATCATCTGTCCTATTGACATGGAGTGCGAAACTGCCTCATGTAACTCCCGACATATTGGAGTATATACTCGTCAACATGATATGCCTCTGGTGACTTTGATTCGAGGATCTTCAATTTACAAGAATGTTGGTGTATTGACTGGAGAGTGTAAAACATGTCACTCAATGTATTATGCTGACCATCAAATACATCATAAATCAAGGCAATCAGACAGAAACATTCCTGAACTCTGCCAAATACCTCCAAATTGGAAGCAATATTTGGGTTGACACTATCTTTTCAAATGCTCTGCTGAATGGCATGTACTCATTTCATGCATCTGCAAACACCTATACACAATATTGGAACAATAGCTTTGGAACTATTGACCCTCACAACACATTCAAAATTAGTCGAAAACAAATTTGGCAAGCTTTTGTACAGCATTCTATTAGAGATGTGGCTTCAACTTCAAATACTACATTTGAAACTCAACCTAATATTGCTATTGATGACTTGACTCAACATGCCTTTGCTGTTCTTGGTAAGAATGGTGAAATACCAGGTGCAAGAGAACACACCTGCTCTGATTGTACAAAGCCTTTCAAACAAACAATGCAGGATACAGAGCGCATTCCAGGTACACTTGATGTTAATATGATAACTTTGGATGGTGTTGTTATGGGTCCACAGGTTTGTCTACCTTATTGAATTGAATTAAATTAAATTGATCCCCTGCTTAGATTTGTGCTTTTGACAATTGTACTAATGACCTTCTTAATGCTCGTGGTGGTGCACTCTGTGCAACACATGAAGCGTTACTTGCAAATAAATGTCGCTTGGTTGGCTGTTCTAAAGAAAAGATACAAGGAACACAAGCTTGTAATGAGCATATGGCTGACTGGAAGAAAAGTGTTCAAGATCGCAGTAAAGCCACTATTAATGGTATTCGACGTGTTCTTCAATGTCCTGGTGAACATCAAGAATGGCAAAATATTCCTGATGCTGCTATTCAACAGCCACATGATGATGAGATTGATGCAAATGAGGCTGAAAATCCTCAAGCCACTATTAATGATATTCGACGTGTTCTTCAATGTCCTGGTGAACATCAAGAATGGCAAAATATTCCTGATGCTGCTATTCAACAGCCACATGATGATGAGATTGATGCAAATGAGGCTGAAAATCCTCAACCATCAATAAAGCGAAAGACATACTTCTCACCTAATCGTTCATATTGTGTTGAAACAGCATGTGCACCATGTGGAGTTGTCATTGCATGGACCAAATTTCCAAAATCTGAATCTCCAACTAATATTCTTAATTGGCTTGATGAAATATTTCCTAACAAGGAGGATCGACCTGCTTATATATGCATTGATAAAGCATGTCAAGTCTTCAAGACAGCTGTTGGAAGTACAAGGTGGAAAGATTGGACAGACACAACTCGGTTTATTGTTGACACATATCACTATAACAATCACCGTGCCACAGATGAAATTTGTCGAAAATGGTGTAATCCTGCACCAAAAGATGGCAGTGCACCAAATCTTGTGGGGGAAAAAGTTGATGAGGATGGAAATCTTATACAGTGGAGAGAATTTAACACCCAAGTCTGTGAACAACTTAATGCATGGCTTGCTGGCTATGAATCCATTTTAAAGCGGATGTCATCAAAAAACTTCAATTGGTTTATACATACTATGCTCATTTACCATGTCAAGCATGTCCTTGCCAAAATGGCATCTATGAAGGGTGATGGATCAACAGATGAAGAAAACAGTGATGAGGAAAGCAGTAATGAAGAAAGCAGTGATGAGGAGGGCAGTGATGAGAAAAGCAGTGACAAGGACAGCAATGAGGAAGAAAGCAATGAGGAAAGTGATTCTACAAATAGCAGTGATCATGATATGCATCTTTCAGATTAAGTATATATTTAGTAGAAGTAGTTACTGACAAATCAATTCCATGTATTTAGCTAGTCCAGCTTTGTTGTTAAATATCCAGAGAAATCCAATTTTGTATTGAATATGGTTGACAGAGTTGGGAGTCCAGTGGAGTCCAGTCCAGTCCAGTTTTGTATTAGATACAGTTGACAGTCCAGTGGAGTCCAGTTTTGCATAAGACACAGTTGCCAGTCCAGTTCAGTCCAGTGGAGTCCAGTCCAGTCCAGTAGAGTCCAGTTTTGTGTTGGGTCCAGCAGTGGAGTCCAGTCCAGTCCAGTCCAGTCCAGTTTTGTATTAGATACAGTTGACAGTCCAGTGGAGTCCAGTTTTGCATAAGACACAGTTGGCAGTCCAGTTCAGTCCAGTGGAGTCCAGTCCAGTCCAGTTTTGTATTGGATACAGTTGGCAGTCCAGTGGAGTCCAGTTTTGTGTTGGATGCAGCAGTGGAGTCCAGTCCAGTCCAGTCCAGTTTTGTGTTGGATACAGTTGGCAGTCCAGTGGAGTCCAGTGGAGTCCAGTTTTGCATAAGACACAGTTGTTCAGTCCAGTGGAGTCCAGTCCAGTCCAGTTTTGTGTTGGATGCAGTTGGCAGTCCAGTAGAGTGAGTCCAGTGGAGTCCAGTCCAGTCCAGTTTTGTGTTGGATGCAGTTGGCAGTCCAGTAGAGTGAGTCCAGTGGAGTCCAGTCCAGTCCAGTTTTGTGTTGGATACAGTTGGCAGTCCAGTGGAGTCCAGTGGAGTCCAGTTTTGTGTAAGATGCAGTTGCCAGTCCAGTTCAGTCCAGTGGAGTCCAGTTTTGTGTTGAGTACAGCAGTGGAGTCCAGCCCAGTCCAGTTTTGTGTTAGATAGTCTCCAGTCCAGTGGGAGTCCAGCCCAGTCCAGTTGTGTGTTGGATAGTCCAGTCTCCAGTCCAGCAGTCCAGTGGAGTCCAGTGGAGTCCAGTGGAGTCCATGTGGATTGCGTGGGGGATGGTAAAGTATTGCAACAAGCGCCAAACCCACCGAAAGGCCACAACACCCACGAAAACACCACAGTACCCACAAAAACCACACCCCGCCCATGAAACCACACCCAGCGCCCACATACACCACCAGCGGACGCGTAACAACACCCAGCGGATACAGAACAACACCCCCGGACACAAAAAAACGAACAGCAGACATGTCAGCGCCCACAAACACCGCCAGCACCCACAAAACAACACCCAGCACCCATAAAACAACACCATGGACGACGATGACAACAGGACGACGTGTCCACGTCAACAACGATGACGGACGACGTGCCCACGCCAACAACGACGGACAACATGCCATGCCAATGACGACGGCTCCACACCAACGCGTCTACGACACCCAGCGCCCACAGTACGTCGCTACGGAGGATGAGGATGACGATGCGATGACGATGCGACGACGTGTCCATGTCAACGCGTCTACATCACACCACAGCACCCCTTCCCCTCCCTCACTTCCCTCCTTCCCCTCCCCATCACCCCCTTCCCCTCCCTCCCTTCTCCATCACCCCCTCTCCCTCTCCACCACTCCCTCCCCTCTCTATCACTCCCTCCCTATCCACCACTCCATAACTCTCCACCCCTACCCCTTTCCTTGTCCCCACCCCCTTTCCTTGTACCTCTCCTTCCTTAAATATAGATTGTATGTAGTAGTATATAATAAAATATGTTTTGTGTCATTTTAAATACATTATAATTTGGTTTATTGACTTCAAATTCATTCTGAGTATTAAGTTGGTCATTAAGTCACCTGACTTTTAGCTGATCAGGTGTGGAAGTGCGACTTGTTTCATTCACGATGCACTCCATATTTCATTTTTCTCCCTACGTACATTTTTATCAGTTTTATTTTATTTTACGAACCTTCGCCGGGTTTGAAACTGAACGAGTATTAGGGAGACTTTGATTTGACAAGACGTATGACATCATCATTTGGCTTTGTTCGCGCCGCACCTCTCGTGAAGGATTCGGACTCGGACACTTGCATTATTTTTTGTACGTTTTTATTTTGAATTGATCACTACTCCCTTCCGCTTTTATTTCTTTGTACTTATGACAGATCTCACCGACCCGAAGCTCAATCTGAGGGCCAGACGGTAGGGTAGAGCATCGACACTTGGGATGTCCGCACTGAAGGCAGCTAGGGTAGAGCATCGACGCTTGGGATGTCCGCACTGAAGGCAGCAGTTGCGCACGTAAACAGACCTCTCCAAGTGTCGTACGTTCCCCGAGTCATGCCTGGTTCGAAGGTTTTGCCTAGGAATCGAGTGGGTGATGTCACTTCTATTTTTGTACTTTTTTTTGTTCCTCTTCGAACATTTTGACGTTCTTCCCCAAAGAATTGGTCTGGCAGCATGAGAGTATGTGCGTTGCCTTGTGATTTTTCATTTTTGTACTGTTTATAAGGTGTCCTCCCACCTGTCGAATGGAGTCGTCTTCTTTCCCCCTCTTTCATAGTCGGATTCTTAAGTCGTCCACTCGTCTCCTCAAGAAATTCAAAAGTTTACACGACGTTTCTACAAGTCATCTTCAAGTTCTCTAAGTTATACGTTTGAGGTGTATCAAGTAATTACAAGCGTTTTGATTCGACTCGTCCCAAACGCGTGTTCAGCTGAGTTGCCTTTCTTTTACCGGAATCCTCTCACGCCACGTTCTCCGCCATCGAAAGTCCCTTCAGAGCGCTTATCTGCGCATTGTCCCTCTTTGACGTCCCCTCGTCCATTCGACATCCTCTTCTCCGAACCCTCTACATACGTAGAATTCCTTTGACATGTTTCTCTTTTTTTTCTTTGTTTGGTTTTACTTTACTTCATTTCTCAGCAAACGACCAGATCACCTGTCCTTTTTTAGGAACTCTTAGCTTCCATCTGGAGGAACGATTCGCTTCCACACAGGACATGTACTGGTAAATTTACATGAGTTCAGAGGATTCCAGTGTAATTCCACTGGATTCCTGTGGAATTCCTGTGGAATCCTGTGGAGTGACTGAATTCCTGCAGGAATAGGTGGGGCACTGTAAAGTACTGGGTCGATGGTAGGGTATTGACAGAATGGGGATTCTAATGTGGGCATGGAAAGTGTAGGGTCAACATCTGTCATGGCTAACGTGTTATCTTCGAAAGCTACAGATGTACGCGCTAACATGGATAGGGGAAGTGAAGAGGCATCGTCCATCATAGCTGAATCATTGCCCTCAGAAGCAGCGATTGTTCGTGCTATCGAGGGTATGGGATTGATTGGCTCAACTTTGAAAGCTGCGAGGACTTGCACTAAAGAGGTTTCCGGGGTGGACTGATGGGTTGGTATGACGGTTGGCTCATCTTCATATAGAATGGTCGGGGATGAGGGGTCGTCGATCAACTGAGAGACATGGTCACCCTCGAGAACTGCGAAATTTCGCACTAACGAGGTCTCCAGCATGGATTGGCTTTCAAGGACCTGGTGAGGGCAGTTCCTTGCGCAACTGCAGCGGGCATAGCTCATGTTGGGTGGGAGAGGTTGTTTCTTTGGTGTCGTTAGGGTTTTTGGAGGCTGTGAGCCATTGTCTGTCGTAACCGAGTCAAGCTCCTCAAAAGCAGCAGATATCCACGCTAATGTGGGGAAGGGAGAGGCCAAGTCGTTGCCCTTGAAAGCAGTGGATATTCGCACTATCAAGGGTGTGGGAGCATCATGTGAGGCATGGACAACGGTTTTCTTGCCTGTCTTAGGGTTTAGGTTTACTTGGGAGTCAGGAATTCTGGAAGGCGTCGTAAGTTGACAGGATCTGTCAATCAAACTTGCCTTATGTAGTTTCTCCGAGTCTTTGCACTCTGGGACTTCATCTTGATGAAGTCTGTGGTGCCCCCACCATTGTGAAACCGAAGGGCTGATCAGGACTTCTCGACGGAGGCGTGAATGCGAGATGGCGGCAGAGAATATTCGGGGTACGCGGGAGAGTGTTTGTAACGTGGTACCACGAGACGATACCATGTTGAGAATATCCTGTGACCCAGGAAGTGGGGCGGGGTCACCTGGCGCAGGACTCTTGTATCCCGGAGGGGAGGCATAAGGCTGCCTAGCCGTATAGAAATGGGGTGATTCCATCCACATGTAATGTATATTGTGGTTGCAAAGTGAGTTTATTGTTGTAAACACGATGCTATAGAACATGGGAATAAATACATGTAAATATGATGATGCTAGATCACGCAAAGAGTATATACCACTATGCCGTTACAAATTCATATAAATTAATCATGAAGTCATTTGAATTGATGTGAATTGACATTCAATTCATGTGAATTGGCATTGAATTCAGATGAACTGGCATTGAATTCAGATGAATTGACATTGAATTCAGGTGAATTGACATTGAATTCAGGTGAATTGACATTGAATAGTTAATAGAAACATCAGAATAGACTATAAACACACCAAAAAACTACAAAAGTAACTACAAAACATCGGAATAGACTTCAAGTTCAATAGATAAACTACAAACACTATAAAAGACTACATGAATTCATATGAATTGATCATGAATTGATTTGAATTCATGTGAATTGACATTGAATAGTTAATAGAAACATCGGAATAGACTACAAACCCAAATAGATAGACTACAAACACTATAAAAGACTACTTGAATTCATATGAATTGATCATGAATTCATTTTAATTCATGTGAATTGACCTTCAAGTTATGTGAATTGACATTGAATAGTTAATAGAAACACACCAAAAGACTACAAAAGTCACTAAAAAACATTGGTATAGACTTCAAGTTCAATAGATAGACTACAAACACTATAAAAGACTACTTGAATTCATATGAATTAATCATGAATTCATTTTAATTCATGTGAATTGACATTGAATTCATGTGAATTGACCTTCAAGTTATGTGAATTGACATTGAATAGTTAATAGAAACATCGTCATAGACTACAAACCCAATGGATAGACTATAAACACACCAAAAGACTACAAAAGTCACTAAAAAACATTGGTATAGACTTCAAGTTCAATAGATAGACTACAAACACTATAAAAGACTACTTGAATTCATATGAATTGATCATGAATTGATTTGAATTCATGTGAATTGACATTGAATTTATGTGAATTGACATTGGATAGTTAATAGAAACATTGGAATAGACTACAAACCCAATAAATAGACTATAAACACACCAAAAGACTACAAAAGTAACTACAAAACATCGGAATAGACTTCAAGTTCAATAGATAGACTACAAACACTATAAAAGACTACTTGAATTCATATGAATTGATCATGAATTCATTTGAATTCATGTGAATTGACATTGAATTTATGTGAATTGACATCCTATATATAAATGTACAACGCTTACTAAGAATTATGTAATAGATCATGTAAGCAACGTTCTGACTTTGTGTTGAGTGTATCGGTAACAAACAACCCTCATTATCAACAAACAAAGGGCAGAAACACAAGGTAGCCACATGTTAAATTTCCTCCACCACAACACATTGCATTGGTGTTTCCTGCCCCCATCTTACCTTCCAACCATTCAATTTCGCTTTTTTGCACCATTTTTTTTCACCCACCACATCTGTGTGGGCGTCTTTGTCAGTGTATTTTCGCTTTTTTTGAATCATTTTAGGCTCATTTTACACCATATCTTCTTTTTTGACCAGTTCTATCTATCAATCCAGATCTTTTGACTTTTCTCCCTGACTTGGATTTTCCAATCAGAGTATACTTGGGGTGGGTGAGGATTCTGCTCCTGCTCCTGTTGTGAGTTGGGTTTTGGGGAGAATTAGAAGACCAAGGTGAAGCCCAGTGAAGTCCTACCTCCCTGGCCTCTCTTTACGAGTGTCTGCCGGTTGCTATCAAGACTTAGTCTTGGACCACTCTCTGGGCACAGTGTGTAGGGAGATTGGTGGGCGGGTTTACAGTTGCCCATCCTTCCTTTTTGGAAGTTGCTCCATTATCAACTACCATTGTTCACACCGATTTCGCTTTTTCTCTGCCTTTGCCTGATTGAACGTCAGGACCTTGAGACTGTCCTCAACCTTAAACCCCAGCATATTTGATTTCTCAAGATGTATGTATCTAATTGATGACATTTTTCAGTCTTGAAACTGATATAACTAAAATTGAAGGTCTGAAACTCCTCTGAATACTCCTCGACAAGTTCGAATTGCTGCACAGAGTGCAGAACGTGACAATCGCACATTGGATAGCCCCCAGCATCGTTGTGCTCCTCATGGTGTGCACTCCCCAGAGCATGTTGCTTTTATTGATTTGAGAATACCTCAGCATGCCCCAGATCCTGCTCCTGGAAATGATCCTTTTTTAGCTGCTCCTGCTCCTGCTCCTGCTTCTGCTCCTGCTCCTGTTCCTGCTCCTGCTTCTGCTCCTGCTCCTGCTCCTGCTCCTGCTCCTGCTCTTGCTCCTGCTCCTGCTCCTGCTCCTGCTCAACAACTTGCTGCTATTCCACCTGTTTCTGCTCTGAATAATTTAGAATTACCTCTGCATGCCCCACACCCTGCTCCTGCTCCTGTTGTATACAATGGACAGCAATATAATCATCTACCAGCTGCTCTAGCTCAGCAGCTTGCTGCACTTCCACCTATTCCTGTTCAGATAGGTCGAGGTTGAGGTCGAGGCCATGGCCGTGGTCATGGACATCAGGTTCATCCACATCCTAATGTAGTCCATCCACCACCAGCTCAGCACAATGCACCTGCACCTGCTGCCATGGTATGTTGATTTGATATATCTCAGTGTTTGTCACAGTTTAATTCTTTTTCCAGTATCCCAATCTACCTGCACATCTTCAAGTTGCTTACCAGGCTCTGGCCCCTCCTCATCCTAATTTGGTATGTTGATATGATATATTTGGGTGTTTCTTACAGAGTTTAATATATATTTTCTGCAGTTTCACAATTTACCTGCATACCAGGATCTGAATCAACATGCTCTTCTTTTCCCTCCTCCTGAAGAACCCCCTCTGCCTGCTCCTGCTCCTGGAATGGCTTTACCTCAACCTGTTCCTCCACCCCCAGTCCCATTTGCACCAAATCCTCTTCCTATGCCACCACCTGAAGCAGTTGCTCAAATTCCTGAAGCACGAAGGCCCTTTAGTCCTACCTGGCAGGTACATGATTTAGGGCATATGAATGTGGTCTGCTCTCAATGTGGTGCATTTCATTGGATGGATGAGAAGCTATCTTCTTCACGCCAAAATAATATAAAGTTTGGCATGTGCTGCTTTAGTGGAAAGATTGATCTTCCAAAATTGCATGAGCCTCCTCCAGAGCTTCTTGAATTGCTTACTGGAACTGATGATATTGCAAAGAATTTTCATAAAGACATTCGTCGCTACAATAATGCTTTGGCCATGACATCTCTGGGATGCAAAACAGATGATTCTGTCAATCAGGGTGGAGGGCCATATGTGTTCAAAATTCATGGCAAACTTACTCATCAGGCAGGATCATTGCACCCTGCCCCCAATGCACATCCCACATATGCTCAGCTATATATCTATGATCCTGCAGAGGCTCTCAACTACCGTATGGGACATAGGGCCAACAACACTCTTCATCGTGAAACAATGCAGAAGCTTCAGGATATGCTGTGGCGTAAACATCCAGGAGTTCAAATGTATCAGCAGGCATATGAGCTCACATGTGACATGGGGCAAACTGAAGAGTGTAATATTGCTCTTTGATTTGACAAATCCTGTGATTGTCGTCGCTACAATCTTCCAACTGCCACATCAAATGAGATTGCTGTAATTCTTCCTGGCAGTGAGGAACAGCCACAGGGGGACAGAGATATCATTTTGCGAAGAAAGGATGGAGCATTTGTCCAGATTGATCAAAGGCATCCCTTCTATGTTTCACTCCACTATGTTCTTCTCTTCCCAACAGGCCAGCTGGGATGGCATCCACATATTGAATACAGAGGTGGAGAGATGGTGCCTGATGCAGAAGAGCTTGATACAGATGCAGGAGAGAACAATGAAGGCCAGGTTCAGCCCACAAAGAAGAGAAAGTATATCACTCAAACAGAATACTTTTGCTACTGCCTTCATCCCCGCCATGATGAATCACCCCATATTTTTATGGCTGGCAAGCTTTTTCAGGAGTATATTGTTGATGCATGGGCACTCTGTGAACAGGCACATTTGCTGTACATCCAGTTCCACCAAAGAGAATTACGGTCAGAGTTATATCAGGGTGTCGTTGATGCTCTGGCATCAGATGCAACAGCAAATGAAATAGGGCAGCACACCATTCTTCCTTCCACATTTGTTGGA